CAGTCCTGACTGGGTTCTGACCCTCTTTTAGACTCAGTCCTGACTGGATTTAGAACACTTTAGAAACGTCGACACAGAAACTCAAACACAGGAAGGAGTTTGATTGACAGCAGCTGGAGGGGAGCATTCCGTAGCCTTGATTGGTCGGAAGGAAGGAAGGAACCCCTCCCCCTCTTGCTCGCTGTTATATTGATAACCCGCCCCCTCTCAAAAACATAAGTGCACAAACTAAAAACAATCACTGTGTGTGTGTGTGTGTGTGTGTGTGTGTGTGTGTATGTGTGTGTGTGTGTGTTATATAATGTGTTAATCAGGCTAAATGCTTGGCTGGCTGTGTGAGAACAAACTACGCTCTGAGGAAAATGTATTGTTCGAGTGTGTGTGTGTGTGTGTGTGTGTGTATGTATGTGTGCGATATTAGCTCGTCCTTGAGGTTGTTGGCCTTTGACCTTTAGCCCCTCCCACATAATAAAACAACTTCCTGGTTCAACAGGAAATGAGAGTTGAAGACTGTTTTGGGACAGTTACCGTTTCCTAGCAACACAGATTGTTTCGCACACACACACACAGTACTCACACACACACACACACACTCACGCGCACACACACACACACAGAGTACTCACTGGGCAGTATGGTCTTGTATCTGTTCTTGGTCCCGTGGTTTGGAATATCGAGCTCCTTGGGATCAATAAAATTCATTGGAATTTCCTGAGATGGAAGAATTGAATGTCAGTCACAGTACTTGAAGGTATTAGTGTCAGCAAAACTGCAAGATTACTACTTTTAGGTCTTAATGAATCAATGAGTATGGCTGGTATCTTTATGCTATGCCAGTTGATACAAACATCAAATATCCGTTTTTCGATACCTTATTTTGTATTCAAGACGTATTGAAGTTTAATATCCAGCCCTATTGATCATTAAGTTGTTAAATTCTACTCATTTAGAGGCTAGCTAGCTAGCGAGCATGCTAATTCCACAATGATTTCATGTTACAGATACAGAAAGCTGCTGGGCTTGGTCTACGTTCATTTAAATTGTCGACGTTAACAGTTTTTAACTTAACGTTCATGAAAGCCGTCAACCTGTCAATTTGCTTATGCTAATCAATAATCGCTAATGCTAATGACTATTCAATAATCATCAACGCTAATTGCTAGTGCTAATCTTAATTGCTGATGCTAATCTCTAGCATGCTGACTGTTGTTGCGATTCTGGTTGCGCTAATGTTAATCACTAAGCCATAATTGCTAATGCTAATGACTTCAATAATCGCTTATCACAAATGGTTATCGCTAGTGCTACTCGCTGGTGCTAATCGCTGGTGCTAATCGCTAATGCTAATCGCTAGTGCTAATCTCTTAATTGCTGATGCTAATCTCTAGCACGCTGACTGTTGTTGCGATTCTGGTTGCGCTAATGCTAATCACTAAGCCATAATTGCTAATGCTAATGACTTCAATAATCGCTAATCACAAATGCTTATCGCTAGTGCTACTCACTGGTGCTAATCGCTAATGCTAATCGCTAATGCTAACCTCTTAACTGCTGATGCTAATCTCTAGCATGCAGACTGTTGTGATTCTGGTTATGTAAATGCTATAAAGGGTTCGTTACGGTGACAAAATACAGTATAAACTCGTATAAACTCTTTGATAATTTGAGTGGCTGTAGTGTTAGGTGGGCGGGATTTAAACCTACGACCTTGTGGTTCTGACTCAAGCTAACCCTCCTCAACATTTGAATAAAAATTTAAAAAACTGCGTGAACGTTCAAAGACGACTTACAGCGAACTCGGCGTGCAGCTTGTGCGTGTTGTTGACGACGCCGCGGAGCTGCTGTCGCGTCAGAGGCCGGCCGGCGGCCAGCAGGTACTCTCTGCTCGCCGCCTCTCTGGGCGTCACAACGGCGACGCTGAGGGGCTCCACGGAGCCGAGGGCCGACATGTCCAACACCAGAGAGACGTTAGAGCCTCGTCTGGAGGGAACAGAGAGATCATGATGGAGGTGAAGAAGCTGCTCTCTTTCTTTCCCGTGTTTTTTGTTGGAGTTCATCTATTGTGGATTTTGATTTATGACAAAATGTTCTCCACAGTTACTGCTTATCTTATCATTTGGATTTTGCCAATTTTTACGTTTTCTAAAGAGTTAATAACTAATAAGAGTATTTATAAAAATTTACAACATTTTCAGTTACTTTTGCTATTTAAAATGAAGAGAATTGCAATTTTAAAAGTAATATATTTTGTCACATTTACGTGATTTAATGAGTCAAAATGATACTAAAACCAGAACTATGACATTTTGAATATTCACTAAATTAACATAATATATTAAATCAAAAGTATCGTATACAGTTAGTTTATGAGATTAAAGAGATCAACTTCATGACAGAATGTGGAGAAGAGCAGTGATTAGAAAGTATGTAGAATAGTTTGTAAAGAGATTGCTTTTTAAATAAAGAATAAATCATTAAAATGTTTGCATCTTTTGTAGATTTGTTATTTAATCAAATCGAATTATTTACTCAAATAAAAATGTTTATGTTTTTTGTAAATGGATTTATTTTTTACATTAAATCTTATTACAAACAAACTCTTTGTCTGGCTGCGTGTCGGCCGGCTTCCTGTCCAGGATTACTTCCTATTCGTCCGATTGCTGATTGGCTGCCGTCCAGAGTGGACGACCCACACACACACACACACGCACACACACACAAGGAGACACAGACATCATGAAAAACATCCTGTTCTCACTCTTGAGGCTGAGATCTTCCATCCTTTCCTTACCTTGAGGATCACAGAGTGTCCTCTCTTAACAGCGCCGCTCTAAACGCTGATGCAACCAGAACAAAATGGCCTCCGGGGTTCAGATCCGAGAGTAACGGAAGAGTTACGAGCGGCAGATAACAGCTAAAGTGCTCGAGTGTGAGCGAGGAGCAGATAAAGATGTTTACAAGAGAGGGAGCGTTTAGGGAAAGAGCTGAGAAAACACTTAAAACGTCTCATTCTGACAAATGAGGTGAGTTTTATTTAAGCAACAATCAGCCTCCTCTGAGACGCTTCACCACTTCACCGAGGAATCAGGGACTACTTTCTCATCGTGTGGAGCGTCACATCAATCACTCAGCTGTGACACGAGGAGCAAAAATAGATGAAATGTACAAAATATGGCAGAAATATTAATACTCTCTTCAATTACTCAAATTTATGAGAAACTAAATCACATTTATGACATTTACTCAGACAGAATTATGAGATTTATGAGGTAAAAATATGACACAACAGCACATTTATTAAATAAAAAAAAGAGATTTATTAAGAATTAAAATGATGACAGAATGTAATCCCTTTGTTTTTGTTTTTATTAATTAACTGTTAAATGGTTGCATTTTTAAAGTGTATTTCTTTTTCAATACATTTTAACTAAATTAAATTATGACATGCTAACATTAAATAAAGAATTGTTTTTAATGAAAATGATGAGATAAACATTTTAATAACCAGGTTTTAACATGTTTTATGTTGTGTGTCGAATAGATTTACTAAAGTCTAAAGTCGAGTTGATTTTATTGCTTTTTAAATGAACTCTATTCACCAGCAGAGATGTAAAGTGATTATGAAGTTGATGAAATAGATTAAAAGGTTCTGAAACAGGGAGACGGTCCTTTAAGTGTTTAATCTGAGGAGCGATCAGAGTTCATGTGTTCAGCTCTGATGTTCCAGACATGAGGAGGAAGACGCCTCCCTTCACATAAACACACATGTTCTCTGTGTACATTGTTCATGGAGGAAACCTGCTTCACTATCTCAATGTAAACACACTCACACTCTCACACACACACACACACACACACACACACACACACACACACACACACTCCTCAGTCTGCACGTAGGCAGCTCGACACCTGACCGCTCCAACAATCACAGGTCAGAGGTGACTTCCCTCCCTAAACATGGCCGACAATCAGACGGCTCCTCAGGTGTGTTTCTGTCCAAAACCTTGTGAAATTAGTAATATTTCACTTCCTCTCTGTAGATATTCATCATAGTTTATCTGGAAGCTCTGCTGCTGTGTGAGTAACGACTTACTGGACCATCTACACAGAACTCTGTGTATGAATGATTCAAAAATACATTGTTTTGTGTCTTTTGTACTCAAACATAGAAAGTTTCTTAGTCGACAACATAGTTATTATTGTTATTATCATAATAAAGTTATTTGGTGTCCAGAGAGGCGGGGCTACAACACCTTCTTACCTCTCTTGCAGTCCTGCTGCAGGTTTCATCCTGAAGGGGGAGGGGCAAGGCTTCAGCTTGTTATTGGCTGTCACCGGGGGGGCGTGGTCGTTGCTGCTGATGACGGGGAAAGGGGCGGAGCTAGGAGGAAAACATCAGACGTGTGGGGTTTACTCTAATAAATTTGATAAATTAAAATGGCCGTTGTCAGCTGACTTACCGAGGGAGAGGGACGACAGGAGGAGGAGCTAGGCGGCGGCAGGCTACGATTGGCTGCTGCTGGCGAATGGGCGTGGCTACAGATGGAGGGAGCTCAGCCTGGACCATGCTTCCTGACGTCACAACCTGGAGACCGAAAAGAGTTATTGAGTCATTAGAGTGGACGATTACTGAACCAGCGGCTTCAAATTACCTCGGTAAAGAGCTTTTTTTAATAATCTCGCTCTAAATGCTATTT